CAAGTTAGAATTCACTTAGAGCAACCCTAACAGGGCTTTTAAGGCAAGTGGAATATTTAAGAAGTGGTTTTATCAATGGCACACACTTAAGTTTCCATGGCTAAGCAGGGATTTGAACCCAGGTCTTCTGAGTCCTAGTCCATCACTCAATCCATTACAACAGGTTAAAGCTTTCTTCATATAGCCACCCTCCTTAAATTCCCACATTGCAGGTCATGGGGAAACGAATGTGGTTTATTTTTTTCATTTTAGCCCTAAAATGAATTCAACTATGGGGAGATGTCTGGGAATGAACATGTAAAGTTCTCCTAGTGATGTATGATGGTTTCAAGCTGGTCTGGACCCATACCTACTCATTTGGGCGTGAGAAAGAAAAGGAGGCTCAGCTTGGCAGTGTTTAATCCTCTGTCAGTCAGCTTTTCTAAGCTGTTGGTATGCATTTAGGCAATAATCAATCAACACATTTCACTGTGCAGAAATGAGATGGGACAGAGGGGACCGACTGACCGTGTGCTCAGCATGTAAGTCATGTTAAATGCTGTGGGACCTGTGGCTAAGTAAAATGCATCAGTCCCAAGCTAGTGATAGAGATCATGTAACAATTCACAAAATACTTCATACAGTACTTAATAGTGCCAATGGCAAAATGCAGAACATTCATTTGTGTATTGCAGCATCAGTGTATTCGCTTTTATGACAATGTACTTTTGTTAAGCAGTACTTTCTGGATTTATGTATTTGTAATCAATACTGCAAAAACTATTTTAAAATCATTGAGAGACTTCTAGTGGTGTGAATATGGCAGACAGGTGATTAGCCATGTGAAACATAATTGGTATATAGAGATGTGTAGGGCTAGAAGGAAAAAAAAAGGGGGGGGGGAGATGAGATACAGGTTCTCATTCCATCCTTAAAAGCCTTTACATTTCTACTATAGGTTCCAATGTTTTTCCAGAAACAATTCAAGACTAAATACATATGGCACAAAAGGAGTGAATGCAATAAACCCACATAATTTTTAAGTAAATAACAGAGCAGGGGAAGCAGGAACTGCCTGGGGACTGGGCTAATTTTAAAGAGATTAATTTTGATATCAGTATGCTACCTTTGACCTTTTCTTATTTGTTATTCTTCTGGTTGTCAGAGGCTGATCATAGTTATTCCAACCTTCCACTTGGCAACTCTAAACGGTTATGCTGAGTTGTACCTTGACTAGTGTCCAAAGTTCCTCAGCCCATAGGGTCCTATAGATCTTTGCCCATTTAATGTACTTTAAATAATCAACTTTCACAGTCTGTTTTTTTTCTTATTACATAAGCAAAGTATTTTTTGTTGTTTAGTCATTAAGTCGTGTCTGACTCTTCATGACCCCATGCACCAGAGCCAGGCCCTCTTGTCTTCCACTGCCTCCCAGAGCTGGTCAAATTCATGTTGGTTGCTTTGATGACACTGTCCAACCATCTCATCCTCTGTCATCCCCTTCTTTTCTTGCCCTCACACTTTCCCAATATCAGGGTCTTTTCCAGGGAGTCTTCTCCTCTCATGAGATGGCCAAAGTACTGGAGCTTCAGCTTCAGGATCTTTCCTTCCAGTGAACACTCAGGGTTGATATCTTTAAAAATGGATAGGTTTGTTCTCCTTGCAGTCCAGGGGACTCTCAAGAACCTCCTCCAACACCACAATTCAAAAGCATCAATTCTTCGGCAGTCAGCCTTCTTTATGGTCCAGCTCACGCTTCCATATATCACTACAGGAAAAACCATAGCTTTGACTATGCAGAACCTTTCTTGTCAAGGTGATGTCTCTGCTTTTTAAGACACTATTGAGGTTTGTCATTGCTTTCCTCCCAAGAAGCAGGCGTCTTTTCATTTCGTGGCTGTTTTCACGATCTGCAGTGATCATGGAGCCCAAGAAAGTAAAATCTGTCATTGCCTCCTTATCTTCCCCTTCTATTTGCCAGGAGTTGATGGGACCGGTGGCCATGATCTTAGATTTTTTGATGTTGAGTTTCAGACCGGTTTTTGCGCTCTCTTTCACCCTCATTACAAGGTTCCTTAATTCCTCCTCACTTTCTGCCATCAGAGTGGTATCATCTGCATATCGGAGGTTGTTGATATTTCTTCCGGCAATCTTAATTCCAGTTTGGGATTCCTCCAGTCCAGCCCTTTGCATGATGCATTCTGCACGTATTCTGCAAGTATTTTAGTTTTTTGCATTTTTTGCATTTTATTTTTTCTTGGTCTTTATTCAAGCTCAGTGCTATTTCATTAACCACTCTCTGGAATGAGGATGTTCTTAGCATCCTGTGCCAAATGTACATTTCAAGTACTTCTTTTATATATATAAAGGGGCACACACAGACATACCCCTCTGTTGAAGTCCATTAGAATAAACTGAGAATACATATCATCATACTGTGTGCATTGTCAAAGATAATTGTATGTTTTGATCTATAGTAAATAATGTGATCAGAATGTCAGGTTGGGGGACTCTGGTGCCTGAACCTCTCTTCCTAAGCATCCTAGAGAACATTATAGACCTCCAGGGGAAAAGTAGGAGACTCACCACAGCAGGCATTTATCCCAAAGAGTTGTCCAGTATAACCCAGAGGAATATTTTGTACCTTGTACAATTTACTATTATCTTCGATGACCCCATGCGAGGCAGAGACATGGAATGTCCAAGAAAACTTCTACTTCTTTTTATTGAACAGGCACATGCAAGCAGATATAAATGTGTTATATTAGTTTTATCTATTGGATATCCAAAGAATGTAACTGTTAACACTTAATACAATGTTTTAGGAATTTAACTATGAAAACTTAATACATTAAATTGAAAATATAAGTAACTACTCTAACAAAACTTAAAAGTGCTTTAACAAAAAGCAGTATGGTGCTTAAGAGTGGAATAATAAGACTGTAACTAAAATGTTACAAATACTTAATAATAAAAAAGTATTACAAAGGCATGCTCTCTAAGTTATAAAAATAATTCTCAAGTCTCATCTACATAAATATCTTAAAGGACTATGTAAGTAATAGACTAGAACATGAGCAATTATAAAATCTCATCAGCATATAGTAAAAAAAATCTTACCACCACCACCCCTGCAGAGTTTTCTCCCATTTATTTATTTGATTTATCCCCCGCCTGTCTGGCCCACCGGGCCACTCTAGGCGGCTTCCAATATAAAATCAGATAATAAAAACATAGGCAAATACATAATAATCAAACAACAACAGCAGTAAAATAAAGAAGGAAAAGTAAGAGAGAAATCAAGAATTGGCTGCAGGGAAGGCCTGGATAAACAGCC